TTGTTTCCTTTTCATATTGTTTATTCTGATGTTTGGGGCCCCAATACTTTACCCTTTGAGACTGTCTATAAATATTTTATTACACTTATTGATGACTACTCTAGATATACATGGACGTATCTAATGCGATGCAAAGATGAAGTGCTAAAGATTATAAAAGATTTCCAACGCATGGTATTCACCCAATGTCAAACAGGGATCCAAATTTTCCAATCTGACAATATCAAAGAGTATTTCCATAGTGACCTCACGGAATTATTTTGCTTTGTGTGGGTCCATTCATTGTAGTTCTTGTGCTAATACACCCTAACAAAATGGTGTTGTAGAAAGGAAAAACTGCCATGTCCTTGAAGTTGCTCATGGGTTACTTGTACATATGAATGTTCCAAAACATTTTTAGTTGATGTTGTTTTATGTTTTGCCTACCTTATCAACCATATGCCATCTTGCTTGTTAGAGTGCAAGGCCCCTCATCAACTCTTGTTCCCTAAAGCTCCCTTATTTTCTATTCCTATTTGTGTGTTTGGCTGTTGTTTTGATTTGTCTCCTAGTTGTGGTAAACTTGATCCCCATACTATTCCTTATCTATTGTTAGGTTACCCTTCATCTCATAAGAGTTACTGGTGTTTTGACCCCATTTCTAGGAAATATTATGTTTCTATGGATGTGTCTTTCTTTGTGAGTGATCCCTTTTTTCATGTGTTTTGACCCCATTTCTAGGAAATATTATGTTTCTATGGATGTGTCTTTCTTTGTGAATGACCCCTTTTTTCATGTTTCTCCTCAAAGAGTAGGGTAGAGGAGCAATAGGTCCAAGTTCTCCTCCTCTACCTATCCCTCCTTCCTCATCGCAAGGGCTAACCAAGTTCAAGAGTTGTGGAGCAACTAGAAGTTGTACCACCAAAATTATCAAATTCATGGGGGTAGATCCTACCCAGCCCGGTACTCTTATTCTCATTGATGTTTTTGACCCTATTGCTATTGATTCTTCTATTGCTAATGACTTAGACATTCCTAATGAAAAAAGGGAGTTTGGTCTTGTACCACTAAGTATCCTATCTCCCATTTTGTTTCCTATGAGAACATCTCACCCTCTTTTCGCGCATTCTTATCTTCCATTAACAATGTCCTTATCCCTAAGAATGTGGCAAAGGCTCTCTTAGTACCTGAATGGACAGATGCAATGAAAGAAGAAACCAACGCCTTACATAAAAATGGTACGTGGAAGTTAGTAGATGTTCTTGAAGGTAAGGAACTGGTAGGGTGTAAGTGGGTGTTCATAGTGAATCATAGGGCTGAAGGCATAGTGGAAAAGTATAAAGCCCAGCTGGTGGAAAAAGGTTTTACTCAGATGTATGGAGTAGATTATACAAAGACATTTGCTCCAGTAGCTAAGTTGAATTCTATTAGAGCCATTTTCTCTCTAGATGTTAACCTTGATTGGGATCTTCATCATTTGATATCAAAAATGCCTTCTTGAATGGTGATCTTGAAGAAGAGACGTACATGGTACAACCCCTTGGCTTTTGTGCCCAAGGCAAAGAACAGAAAGTGTGCAGATTAAAGAAGTCCTTGTATGGATTAAAATAATCACCAAGAGCTTGGTTCAACAAGTTCCATCTATCTGTACAGAAGATTGGCTACAAATAATGCTATATTGATCATACATTATTCGTAAAAAAAAAAGGAGAAGGAAAGATTGCAGCCTTGATAGTGTATGTTGATGACATAGTAACCACGGGTGATTGGAAAGTTGAAATTCAAAAGCTAAAGGAGTTCTTAACTACTCAATTTGAGGTGAAGGTTCTAGGCCCCTTGCGGTATCTCCTTGGAATTGAAGTGGCCTACTCACAAAAGGGGATCTTCATTTCACAAAGGAAATGCATCCTAGATTTGTTACAGGATTCAGGAAAACTAGGGGTGAAGTCAGCCGACTCTCACATTGATCCAAATCACAGATTGGGTGATTGTTGTAGTGAGACTATTAAAGATGTAAAGCAATTCCAAAATCTTGTAGGAATGCTCTTGTACTTGTCCATGACCCGGCCAAACATTGTTTATGTCGTGGATGTTCTTAGTCAATTCATGCATGCCCTTAAGGTAGAAATATTCACAAAGAAAAGCCTTTAGTAGTTCCAATAGGTCAATTGGAACACCTAAATCACAGTCTTGACAACCAAGAATGAAACCTTGCTTTGATACCATGTCAATTAGATAGTTCGAACAAGAAGAAGATAAACAGTTTCAGGGTGTCAATGTAACAGTCGACTCCACCCCGAAGAGCCTCTATTAGATTAATAAAGTATGTACAATTACAAAAATGCCCATAAAGGGCTAAAAGAGAAAAGGAACGAATACAAAGGCTATAATTCATCATTCTTAGATTCTCCACAATTTGAGTGGTAGGTCTCCAAGAAAATTCTTCTTTCCTCAACAACTCTTCTAGTCCACTTTCAAACTCCATCTTTTTGATATTTCCTTTTGACTACACTCTCTTTGGGCTTCCTTTTGGTCTAACTCCTTAATTATCTTTACAATTTTGTCTTTTGAGTATTCTAATCTCTCAAATTCTTCCTTGTTCTAATCTTCTAACCTCACTTTCAACTTTAGTTTTCTAATGAATCTCACCTGCTTTTTTTCTCGCATTAATTCCACTTCCCCTTGATTTTTTTATCTTTTCCTTGAACTTATGGACTTCCGGCCACATGTTTTTAAATATAAGGGGTGTAGGTCCCCCAAGGATGGTTTCCTAATTATGACACAAAGGGCAAAGATCGGAGGTTACCCTGGGTGCTTTCAGGTCTGAATTTCCCCACAACTCCTCCCGATCTACAAAGAAAAGGAACCTATCAAACTTGGAGCACACTGGAGCTTCCTAAAAATTTGACCTGGTAAAGGATTACTCTGGGGAGTGCTTTTAGGACTAAAGAGAAAAGGAACATATCCAACTTGGAGTACACTGGAACTTCCTAATGGACCCAGGTTGCCTATACTGCAGCCATAAAATGTTGCTGGCAGTTCCTTGAGGCACCTACCAGTTTGTGGGGAATGGTAGTTAAATTTAAACTAAAATTTGTTGTAAGAGAGTTGGATTGGGTGACTTGTCAAGGTGTTCATTCTTATGGAACATCCATCTGGAAAGGTATTGAGAAAAGATATATCCTGCATTCTTTAGGTGATGGGAATAGAATCAAATTTTGAGTGGACAAATGGTGTGGTCGGCAGGCTTTTATCTATCAATTTCCAGCCCTTTATTTGGTGGCTCGGATTAGGGAGGCTTTAGTCTATGATACTCTGTTTCAAATGGTGTAACCAGCTGGAGTCCAATGTTTATGAGAATGCTGAATGACTGAGAAGTTGACCAGTTACTGGATCTTTTGCAATCTCTGCAGCTTCACTTGCCAGTGGGACATCCTGATTTTTAGTCGGTTGTGGGAGAATAATGGTAGGTCCTCTGTAAAAATCTATGCCAAGAAAACCTTGATGATTTCCCAGCAAACAGAATCTGGCATTTTGGGGTTCCGTTCAAAATCAAGTTTTCTTTTTCCAGGACTGCAGCTATGGAGAAATGTTTAACCTAAGACAAATTACTGCATAGGGGAATGACGTTGGACCAGCATGGGTGTGTTTTTTGTTCAGAAGAGTTGGAGACTGCCAATTATCTGTTCTTGCACTGCCCAAATGCTGTCAAAATTTGGATTGTGCTTCTAAATATATTTTTGGCTGGGTTGGCTGCTTTCCACGGTCCATTAAAGCTTTTTTATGGATCTGGCAGATAAGTGGTGTCATTAGTAGGGGTAAAATTGTCTGGAGAATGCTTCCAATGGCTGCTTTTTTGTATATATGGGAGGAAAAGACCTCTCAAATTTTTGGAAACATCTATTCTGATAGTGATGTCTTGCTGAACAGAATTAAAGGAACGCTTCGTTCTTGGTTAACTGTTCATAAAGATTTCAGGGGGTTGGGCTATGACAGATATTTTGAGAGATATTGTTCTTAAGGCCTACAGATGTATGATATTTTGTTTATACTATTAATACAATACCTTACGTTTCCAAAAAAAAAAGTTGGCTTTATATATAGCGGTTGCAGAGGAAACCATTCAGCTTGTGTAGTTAACCTACTTGGGGCAGAATCCGCCACTAGTCTCCAATTTCTCATAATGTTGTTAGTTGTATAAACTGCAAGCAGCTCCATAGTTCTGCTCCAATGTGCCACCTTAATGGATATATTGTCAACGATGTTTTTCTTAGGGCTGGCCTAAATTCTCCAAGTGGTTAGGCATACATTATTTGTACTCATCATTTTTAATAATTTAATAAATAAAAGTACTACGGTTACCTATCAAAAAACAAATTGGATGACAGTCCTGTAACAAATATTCTGCTTTCTTAAATTTGTTTTTTTATTAGTAATAAAAAAATCAATTATATGATAGTGATGTAGAAAAAGACTAATAAATGATGCTTCACTGTGTACTATCATTTACACTTGAAATATCTGATCAACTACATAGAAAGTTGCTCCTTTTAAAGGAGATGAAATCTTTATGGTCCAAAGGCCAGTCCATGAGGAAACTGATCTCTTCTGTGCACAACCCAGGGAATGATCTCTCCTTGCCTTTAAGATGGACTGAAGAAGGTTAAGATCATCTCTTACTTTTGTTTTATTGACTACCCACCTGGAAACATAGAGCAAAATAACAGGATGCCTTGTCTACTTGTCACATTCATTTCATATAATTTTTTACTGTGTTCCTTGTATATCAGTAGTACTTATTTTCTTTTGATCAGCAACAAAGAAATTAAGATTCATTACAAAAAACAGAAAAATGACATCAATTTATACAAAAATAAGAGCATTAGCAAGCTATCCCTCCCCATAAATTGTTACAAATTGCCCAAAATAGTTAGTTTCTATTAACCCCTTAGCTAAATTGTCAGCCTAGTATTGCAGTAGTACTTTATCATACTTCTAAGATTAATGTTGCATGATTGCAGGTTAAACAAGATGGCTTCTTTCCTGCAGATTTACTGTTCCTTGCAAGTACAAATCCTGATGGTGTCTGCTACATTGAGGTTTTTCTTTTCATCTTTTCTTTTCTTACTTTGAACAGTTCTTTTTTGTTTTTAATTAAATGTATTTACCTAATAAAACTCAAGAATATACCTGCCTCCACATCTCATTTCAAGTTTCTCCCCATCACAGACTGCAAATCTTGATGGTGAAACAAATTTGAAGATTAGAAAGGCGCTTGAAAGGACATGGGATTACTTGACTGCTGATAAGGCCTCTGAATTTAAAGGTTTAACCTTTGTTCTTTAGAATTCAACCAATGCTTTAGTTTCTATTGGGCCAAAGGTGTTGGGACTGAGTTCTTTGAATTGGTTTTGAAAGCATAGAGTGAAACTTATTACTCTGGCTGGTTACACTAAAGCAAATTATGGCAATCCACTATCAATTATTCATTTTGATGTTAATAAGGGCTTCGTCTGTCTTTATTGCATCTTTTGTTTGCACCATTACAAAATTGAGGAGTATAATTCTGGTTCATTTTTTTTCGATTTTTTTTGGGGGACAAGGTGCCCTTGGAGGGTAGCCTCTCCCAAGCGCCTACATATTTTTGTATATGGTGCTGCATAGTATTTTTATATTTATATTTTATGATATTATAATATTACACTAAATTATTCATTTTGTGGCTTTATAATTCTTATATTATTTACTTTTTATATATTTCTTATTTGTTTGGGTTCAATGGATACACAAGTTATTGAGATTTCAAAACCTGAACCAACAAGCAAAGAAGAACTTGAAGATTTTATCCAATCAGCACATGAGAGTAACCAAAGAATTGTTGTTGTTGTTGTTGTTACATTAATAATAATATATTATTATTACTGTTCCTCTTCCTCCTATAATAAAAACAAGGGCTCAGCCCCTATGTTTTCTTCTCTTTCTTCTTTTTCTTCTCATAAATATGTTGATTTTTTATGTTTTTGTATAAGTTTTATACTTATTTCATGAGGATTATGGTAATTATTAGTCAAGGATAGGATAATTGCTGATTACCATAAAATCTAGGGAACTACTCTGGGGCTTATATTATCTTATTACAAAAAACTCATTGCCTAGGTGACAAGACACCCTCCCTGTTGCCCTGGTTCTCCTTGGTGTCTTGAAAACTATGATTATATATAGAGACACGCACACAATGATATGCCAAATCTGGTTCAATTTTGCTTCAGATTTTGCTTCGCTTTGTTTGTTTGGAGGGAAGTAAAATAATGTGACACTCTATATGGAAGAGTATGAGGGGGAGGAAGAGGAATAAAATTTCTAATCACTTTCTGGGATGCATATTTTACACCATGGAGGTGCAAATTATGTGGTAAAAATGTAAATTTTACTCAAGCGGTATAAATGTGTTTGCAGAACAATATACTGATCTTTTCCCTCTTAATGATGTTTCATGCTGCCTTACGGTTGACATAAGCAAATGACACACAATGTAAAACTTCATTACTTTCTAGTCTTCTTTATAGTTGGTACTGTATTACTTGCAATTTCATCTATTTATTTTCTTGATTCTTATGTTTTTTTTTTCTTATAAAGATTTGTTTGTTGATTACAGGGGAAGTACAGTGTGAACAACCAAATAACTCATTGTACACTTTCACTGGCAACCTTATGGTCGAAAAACAAACACTGCCTCTTACACCAAATCAATTATTATTAAGAGTATGATTTATTTTTCTATTTGTGCCTCATTAATAACTTTGTTTTTTTAGCCTAATGCACGCATGTTATAAATCTTATGTTAGATGCCTTTCACTTTGACACAATTGTGAATATGATAAGAATCAATTTTAGAAATTCATGCTTATTGTTGATCATTATGCTTCTGCTTTTTTTTCAGGGATGCAGTCTAAGGAACACAGAATATATAGTTGGAGCTGTTATATTTACTGGGCATGAAACAAAGGTATGTGGCATTTGGGTATAGTTTGACTTGCTAACCCCTTGTCCCCTATTCCATGTTGGACCATCTATGTAACCCAGTAAGGGATCAATATGTCTGGCATGAGATCATAGTTAGCATTGGATTGACCAAAGTTCTTGCTATATTTGATTTTCATTGATCTAATGCATTGATCCTGGGAAGGAAGACAGAAAGAACAGTAGTGGGAAGTGTAGAGATAATATGGGCTGACAGGTTGGGAGTACCATTTTATCTTGTATATACCTTATTGTACAATATCTTTTATTCTTTCTTGTAAACTTATCTTATTTCTTATTTATTTTGGTGAAGGACACAATGATCCTTCCACTTTTATGTAAACTTCTGATATATAATGCAAATCCTTTGGGCGTGTAAACTGATTGACACACACCCCTTCAACTTCTACTGTCTCTTTTGAATGGTCTCTGTCATGTATCAGAGCAAGTTCTAACCTCGATCTGCTGAAAACTTCTCTCTTTCTGTTGTTTTGCTACGATTAAAGTACATTGAAGGACTGTTCTGTTGCTCTGTTGCTGAAGTTTTTGGTGGTCTTCTGGCAACTGTTCCGATCAGTCCCTTTTCTTGCTGTTTTCTATAGAAGACAACATAACAGGTTAGGGTTTCTAACCTGTTTTGGTGTTTGGATCATTGCTGGTAGGGTTTCTAATTGAATCTTCTTGGAATCGACTCTCAACTTTCCTTTTTAGGACTGTTACTTGATCTACTGCTTTTTGAGAGCATTTCCTTTAGGAAATCTGATTATTCTCCATTAAATCAAATCAGTTTTGAGTGATTTAAAGCCTGTTATGTCCTTTCTACTTGTTACAACATCTGTTCTTGGTGTTTTTTTAAATGATGTCAATCAAGTTTATTGGAAGAAACTATGCTCTATGGAAGTTTCACTTCAAGTTCTATGTTGAGGGGCAAGGCCTTTGGGGTTATGTGGATGGTTTGATGGCCAAGCCTAATGAATCTGACAGCAAAGGGCTGAAACAGTGAAAGATAGATAATGCAAGAATAGAATCATGGATTCTTGGCTCAGTCGAGACTGACATAGCCATTCTGATGAGGGGTTTTAAGACTATAAAGGAAATGTTTGAATTCATGGAGAAGGTCTATCAGTAGTCCAACCTCTCTCGACAATATCAAATTAAAACAGAGATCTTTTCCTACACTCAAGGGGAGATGATCCAATAGTACTATGCTGGTTTTATCAATTTATGGACTGAGTACGAATTAGTGCACATGGGAGACTCTTTGTTAGCTTGTTGTGTCAAGAGTATGAAGTAGAACTTTGATAGAAGGAAGATTATGCATTTTCTGATGCATTTGAGGCCTGAATATGAAGTTATTAGATCAAATATTTTGAGTAGGGATTCTACTCCAAATCTGGATACTATATTGGAGGAACTTCTTAGGGAAGAAACAAGGCTGGTTACTTAAGTCTACCATCAATGGGAAGCATGATTCTGGGGCTGAAGCTGTTTATTTTGCAAACAAATCAAAACCAATGGACCTTTCCAAGGTACGATGTTATGAGTGAAAAGAATATGGTCATATTGTTTCACATTGCCAAAAGAACACTTGCACCTATTGCAAGAAACATGGGCATATAATATCTGAATGCCCCACTCACCCATCTAAAGGAAACACTTCAGGTTATAAGAAAAATCAGCACGGCATATCAGACAATCATGGATAATTCAGACAGTGGTACTATCCCTTCCCCTCCAACACCTACTTCAGTCAAAGGTGAGTCTTCTGGAGTTATTTTTGAGGAAAAGACGCAATAGCTGGTCTCTTCAGCCATTTTTTTCTGCTTTCTCTGCTATTTGTCTATCTGGTGAGTCTTCACTTTATTGCTCTTCTCCAAATCACCTTTGAGTAATTGACTCTGGTGCCTCCAATCATATAATGAGGGCATACTTTGGTCAGTATCTTAAACCAAAATCCTTGAATAAGCATATCATTACGGCCAATGGTTAATGTTATCAGACCTGTATTTAATCCAATAAACAAAGAAAAACACCTGCAGCAGGCCCGAGAAGAGAGGTAATAGAGAGGAAGAAGAGAAGAAGAATATGAAGAGAATAGGGCAAACAATCTCAGTCGAATGAGACTAAACTGCCGCCCCCTATATGTTTATATTCATAATGAATATGAAAATTACAATATTACCCCTGATACTATGATTTAAGAACAGAGACAAAACAGAATTAAAAAGAAAGGGAAAAATACTAAAATAACCCTAGAAAAAAAACATTGTATTTTAGCACTCCCCCTCAAGTTGGAGCATATATATATCATACAACTCCAACTTGTTACAAATGTATTTCATCCGAGCACCACTCAATCCTTTGGTGAACAGATTAGCTAGTTGATCTTCAGACTTCACATATGGGGTAATGATTTCTCCACTAACCACCTTCTCTCTTACAAAGTGGCAATCCACCTCTATGTGTTTAGTCCTCTCATCATACACTAGATTGGAGGAGATATGAACGGTTGCCCGGTTGTCACAAAATAGCTTCATGGGAGTTGTGATTGATATTCCCATTTCCTGTAACAATTGTTTCAACCACACCAACTTGCATGTAGTGTGGGCCATGGCTCTATACTTGGCCTCAACACTACTCCTTGCCGCAACTTGTTACAAATATATTTCATCCGAGCACCACTCAATCCTTTGGTGAATAGATTAGCTAGTTGATCTTCAGACTTCACATATGGGGTAATGATTTCTCCACTAACCACCTTCTCTCTTACAAAGTGACAATCCACCTCTACGTGTTTAGTCCTCTCATGATACACTAGATTGGAGGAGATATAAATGGTTGCCTGGTTGTCACAAAGTAGCTTCATGGAAGTTGTGATTGATATTCCCATCTCCTGTAACAACTGTTTCAACCACACCAGCTTGCATGTAGTGTGGGCCATGGCTCTATACTCGGTCTCAACACTACTCCTCGCCGCCACATTCTGTTTCTTGCTCTTCCAAGAGATCAAATTGCCTGCCAAAAACATATAGTAACCAGTTGTTGGTTTCTTGTTAGTAATTGATCCTACCCAACCAGCATCTGTACATCCTTCAAATGAGAAGTCTCTCCCTTTCTTATACAACAACCCTTGACCCCGAGCACCCTCTAAATAGCGTAGAACTCTAGCAATACCTTCCAAATGGATTGTCCTTGGGTTTTGCATGAATTGACTCAATAGTCCAACACTGGAGGAAATGTTTGGTCTTGTGATGGTTAAATAAATCAATTTTCCAACTACTCTACTATATCGTCCAAGATCATTTAGGGGCTCCCCCTCACTATCAAACATCTTCACATTCGGTTCTATAAGAGTATCCACTGGTTTTTCCCCTAATAGACCAATCTCTTCCAACAACTCAAGCACATACTTTGCCACTTCTATGCCCAAAAAATATTTCAAGTGTCCCAAGTCCTTAGACTAGAATTGACTTTGTAGGAACTATTTGAGCTCTTCAATGCCATGCTCATCGCTTCCTATGGTAATAATATCAACAACATAGACTGACAATGCAATCTTTCCAAAGGTAGTATTTCTACTGAACACGAAGTGATCAACCCTACATTGTGTCATCCCAAACTGCTGTACTCCACTACTAAATCTCCCAAACCAGGCCCTCGAAGATTGCTTCAACCGACACACCTTTCCTTCCTCCCCCTAAGTAACATACCTTGGAGGTTGCTCTATATACACCTCTTCTGAAACAATGGCCAATCAAAGTGTGTATCCAGAGAGATAAGCACACGGACTAAACCCATTTTAGCTAACTTGAAAGAAGAAGAAAAACTGTTTACTGTATTACAGGTTTGAAGAGAAGAAAAGAGAAAGAGAGAGAGAGAGAGAGAGAGAGAGTAAAGAGAGGAGAAAACAAAGAAGGGGTTCAGTGGTGAATGATCTGCTGCCCCATCAACCCTTTATTTATAGCTTTTAGGATCCTTACAAGAATAGGAAATAAACAAAAAATAGAAACAATAAGGCCAGCCAGCCCAAATTAACAGAAAGTAGAAAATTCTAATAACAGAAACTAGAAACTAAAGAAATTAGAAACTACTAAAAAGAAATTAGAAACTACTAATAAAAGAAATTAGAAACAACTAGGTGTGGGTATGAAACCACACACACTAGAGCCTGAGTGTGTGTATGGAACCCCACACTCGTGTTTAACCAACTATTTCTTCACTCCCCCTCAAGTTGGGAGTAGATATTTGTCATGCCCAACTTGTGTAGATCTGTCTCCAATTTTCCTTTTGTGACTGCTTTGGTGAAGAGATTAGCTAACTGCATGTATAAGGCAATGTAAGGAAGGCATGCTTCTTGAGATGCGACTCGCTCTCGGATAAAATGTCTGTCAACCTCGATATGCTTAGTCCTATCATGCTGTATTGGGTTATGGGCAATATTTACTATAGCTTGATTATCACAATACAGCATCAGAGGCTTCTCATAATCAACCTCCAACTCATTAAGCAAGGATCTCAGCCATAACACTTCTGCAACACCAAATGGCCATGGATCTTATTATTTGTTGATGACTATTACCCGTTTTTCATGGGTCTATCTTATGCACTCTCGAGATGAGGTCCCCAAACAACTGTACCCCCTGTTGGGAGTATGGTAGGGCCCCCAAACATTGGTATGCACAATCTCAAAAGGAAGGTTGCTTCTTTTATTACTTAAAGGATAAGATGATCTACTATGTTTTGCAAGTTCACAACTTTCACATTTTAACCCAGACACTTCTACTGGCTCAAACAAGTTTGGAAAAAGACTCTTTAAAGACCCAAAAGATAAATGACTTAAGCGGTTGTGCCAAAGCATAATCTTACTACAAGACTGAGAAACAAACAATTTCCCTGCTTCACTCTACTCCCCCTGTGAATGTTCCAGCAGGTAGACTCCATTCATCTCATGGCCAATTCCAATCACCTTCTTTGTTTTCAGATCCT